ACTTGGCTATCGGACTTATGTATCTCTATTAAACGACTTAGCTAACCGCTGTAAACTACTTATATAAGTCTTGTAAGTGCATTTAGGCAAGCCTTATAACTCAAGATAGATGAGTGGCATAACTCCCGAGGCAAGTCCAATCTAACCGACGCGAACCTTCAAGTAGTGATACCGGATGCGTGCCGGATGCACCGGGGGCACAGGGCGCGCAGACGCACGCGGGGTGTGCACGCGCCGGGCGCGCACGTCTCTATCTACTTTCAACAGAGCAGATCTCACAAACATAGTCCGGCACCCTCTGCTTCTAATGCAAAACATGAGCAGGCTTAAAGGGCAGACTTTCCCGTTCGAGCCTCCAAACATTAAAGGACCGGATAACCCTACATGTGAAGCTTGTCTATTGGTAGACAATCTAAAGACGCAAAAGAGTGAATGAAGATGGGAGTAAATGGATGAGTGATTGAAAGAATAAGTGTGTGCTGTTGTGACCACGTGTGTGTGTGTGTATGTATAGATGCGATAGAGCTGAGATCGGTTCTAGTGACCGCCGCTGGCACATCGTTCTGCGCTGCACTTCCGGAGTGTGAGTGTGTGTGTGTGTGTGCGTGTGTGTTTGTGTGTGTGTGTGTGGCAGGGCCGGGAGGGTCTTTAGTCGCGGAAGAGTCTCGCCCCCAGGCGCGCGCGGCCTTGGCCAGAGCAGGCCCGGGACGGTCTTTAGTCGCGGAAGAGTCTCGCCCCCAGGGTCTTTAGTCGCGGAAGAGTCTCGCCCCAAGGCGCGCGCGGCCTTGCTAGAGCAGGCCGGGAGGGTCTTTAGTCGCGGAAGAGTCTCGCCCCAAGGTGCGCGCGGCCTTGGCCAGAGCAGGCCCGGGAGGGTCTTTAGTCGCGGAAGAGTCTCGCCCCAAGGCGCGCGCGGCCTTGGCCAGAGCAGGCCCGAGAGCAGGCCCGGGAGGGTCTTTAGTCGCGGAAGAGTCTCGCCCCAAGGCCTGTTTAGTCGCGGAAGGCGTGCGCGGCCTTAGCCAGAGCAGGCCGGGAGGGTCTTTAGTCGCGGAAGAGTCTCGCCCCAAGGCGCGCGCGGCCTTGGCCAGAGGAGGCCCGGAGGGTCTTTAGTCGCGCGCGGCCTTGGCCAGAGCAGGCCGAGAGGGTGTTTAGTCGCGGAAGAGTCTCGCCCCAAGGCGCGCGCGGCCTTGGCCAGAGCAGGCCGGGAGGGTCTTTAGTCGCGGAAGAGCCTTGCCCAGAGCAGGCCCGGGTCTTGTGTGTACATGTGTGTGTTTGTGTGTGTGTGGCCCGTCTTGTGTGTACATGTGTGTGTGTGTGTGTGAGTGTGTCTGTGGAGGAGGAGGAGGAGGAGGAGGAGGAGGAGGAGGAGGAGGAGGAGGGAGGAGGAGGAGGAGGAGGAGGAGGGCGCGGAGGAGGAGGAGGCGGAGGCGGAGGCGGAGGCGGAGGCGGAGGCGGAGGAGGAGCGGAGGAGGAGGCGGGACAGCCCCAAAAAGTAAGAACCCCACACAGTGATGTGGGGAACAATGTCGATCTTGCCAGGGAATTTGGCATGAAGAAGGCCTGACTCAGGTCGACGAGTTTAGGCACGTCAAGCAATTTAGGCACGTCAAGCAATTTGTTAAGCAAGTGGCACGTTTTTCTCGCCAGGCTGCCATTGCTGGCTTATTAATGAGACTGTGTATACGTACATACGTATGTCCATCTAAGTTCTTTCTCGCCAGGCTGCCATTGCTGGCTTATTGTGAGACTGCGTATACGCACATAGGTATGTCCGTCTATATACGTTCACAGCGAGGACTCTTCCAGGCCTGCGAAGCAGAAACCAAAGCTGATCTCTGTACGTGTCCGGCATGCCCAGCAAAACCATTGACAGGAACCTCACAGCGAGCAGTGGACTGATGACCTCGCAGTATTGAACTGCCAGCCGTCTAGCATCCGTCACTGGAATCCGTTCAAACTCAAACGAGGAGGCCAGAATGCCCTCGCAGAGCCTAACCATAGTTCCTCGATCAGGCAAATCCCAATCCCAGCCGGGAGGCTGCGCAACCAAGCCCCGGAATCTCTCTGCATCTACCGGGTTCACTTCCATTTGCAACTTTCCTTGGAGTACGTTGCATTGTCGAACCATGCTTACTTTCTGTAAAGTTGGAATATGTTCCTGTACACCTGCTTCCACAATATCACCTGCAGAGGATCCGCGTCTGTGGTGCCTGGTTTCGAACTGCTGCAGCTCTCTTCGTAGTTGCCGATCGGACCAAGCCCACTCCATTTGCCATCCTGTTGCCAAGTTCATCATGACACATCCCAGCACCAGGTCGATGCAGATTCGATGGAATTCTTCTCTCGTAAACATGTTTCCTTCCATCTGCGTAGTGGCATCGGCAGCGGAACCATCGGTATAATCTGAATAATAAGAACTAGTTCGATCGTCATCAGTTCCTTCAGGTCCATGAAGCCTGCCAAAATCCGTTCGATCCATTGCTGCAATTATGTGGCAGTACGACGAACTGGGGCACTTCTCTCCTAGTCTTGAGCATCACACTCAGTTTGACGATCTGCGTGTAGGCGCATGTGTGAACACATCCAACTGCACTGACTGACTGACCAGGAATGCATAGGCCCCGATGTCCACCTCATCACAGCGTGGCCCACACCACAGTATCCCATAGCCTGGGCATGTAAAACTATAGCTGCCCCTCTCTCAGTCTCTCTCTCTCTCTCTCTCTCTCTCTCTCTGTCTCTCTCTCTCTCTCTCTCTCTCTCTTTCGAAATCTGTCTTTATCCTGTTTCTTCACGCCTCCATCCCTCTCCTTCCTTCCCTCCCTGGTTTCTAAGTGCCTCCCATTCCTTCTCCTTTCCTCCGTTCTTTCTCTCTCTCTCTCTCTCTCTCTCTCTCTCTCTCTCTCTCTCTCTCTCTCTCTCTCTCTCTCTCTCTCTCTCTCTCTCTCTCTCTCTCTCTCTCTCTCTCTCTTTCACAAGGCTTGAGGGCGCGCCCCCGCCCGGAGGGCTGCCCCTTGTTGTCGGCACGCACGGTATTACGTGCTCTGGGCTACGGTTACCGACCACTGTTGACGATGGTGTCAGGTGTGCATAGCCTATGCCTCGTTGAGTAGTACCTGACTCCTCGGTTGAGCACCCCTCTTCGAGTGTGTCTCCAGGCCTCGATTAGCACTGCAAACTAGATCATGAATGGTGGTGAGGGGCCTGGAGGCTGCAGCAAACTGGGGACTTTCGCCCCGGAGCTCCTTTGGTTTCAGTCTTCGGGCCCCGGGCTGGTATGGTAAACAAGTATAGGATGGTAGTGTTCAGCAACCGGCGCCCCGAGTGCAAGAAAAACAGACAACGGGCCTACGAACCTGTGCAGATCACAGTATGGGGTCACCAGCTGGGCCTTGTTGCTGTGCTACGGACCTGGTGTTGGGTACAGACTGAGGACTCTGGGCTGGTGCAGGGGGTTACAGTAGTGATGTCGTCATGGTCCACGTGCCGATGCCCCTGGATGCGAAAGACAAAAGGCTAGGGCCTCAAGGAACTCTCCAGGTCACAGTGCTGGGGTCTCGGCCGTGGGTATGTTCGCCCCTAAAGTAGGGCTCGAGGTCAAGCGGCGTCTCCCCGTCGGCACTGCGTATCCGCCAGGGCTTCGAGCTCGTTGTTTTCTCTGGTCGCCCCGGCTTGTGCTGCAGAACTTGCGGCGTGCTGCGCCTCCATCTCTTGGTATGTGGCCGCCCCGAAGTCCTCGGTGACGTCACCTTCTTCGTTCCAGTGCGCCACGAGTGCCAGCGTAGCCTCCTCTTCGCTGTCGTTGTGGGCTCGCTCCTGGGCTGCCCTGTCTGCCTCGAACTGCCGCTGCAAGCTCAGGTCCTGGTAGGCGTCACGCTCTGCGTCCCCCGGGTCCTCGTCGTTGTCCAGCTGGGTGGGCCCCGCCTGTTGTCGGCCACTCCTCTTGTCCACCAGGGAGCTCGTCCTGGCTTTCCTGGGCCAGGATCGCCCCTCCACCAGAGCTGGTACGCCTCCCCTTGCAGGAAGCCTCTAACTGCAGCCAAGTTTTGCGTTGCCTGCTCCAGGGTGACGGCGTGGACAAAGAACGGTCTGTCTTCGTCCGCCCCGCCGGCGTTGAGCTGGATGACGTCCGCCCCGTGTGTCCCAGTGGGCTGCCAAGTGTCCTCCCCTTCCGCCACTGTTGCCAGCCTGGAGCCCACGATCAGGTCGTTGTGGTGCTCGGCGAGGCCAGCGACTCCCATGGCGTCAACTCTGCTGTACACGTTATTGACAATATGGTGGACGCCCCGTGCTGCTGCTAGCCTATATAGTGCTTGCATCCATGGCTGTAGTCACTAGGTAGAGTGTTCTGGCAAGCTGCTGCAGTACCATGTCTTGGGTCAGGTGTGTGTTCGCCTCCACGCTGCTGAGGGAGAGGAGGTTGGCTGCGGCTTCCCTGAAGAGGGAGTTACTGCCCCGAGGCTTTTTTGTGGGGGACCCTTCTGCGCTGCCGCATGCGGTTGCCGCCCGGGGGCGGGTCCTGCTTGGCTTGCCCCTAGCAGCAGTAGCTGCCCAACACCTAGTAGGGCAACAAGGCTTGCGTAGGCCACACACCTGGCCGTCATCTGTACTTGAGTCGGCTATTGCTCAGCGGTTGCTCAGCTTGAAGTCGACGCTGCGGCGGCAGTGCACATTCACATACTGCAAGTTCTGGTTTCAAGCTCAGCTGCACGACGAAACGGTTTGGGACGTAGTTCTGTAGGCCAGACAGGGTTGGGTTAAGGTCGGGAGCCAGGTCTGGTAGTAGAGGTCGAGGTGGTACTGGTAGTAGAGCTCGAGGTGCTTGAGGCGTCGGGGTGGTATGTAGGAAACTGTAGGTCGGCTCTTTTGCAAAGGTAAGTTCAACAAAAATCTGCAACATGCTGCAACTGCATCTGGAAGGTCTTGCTCGTGAAACTTTCGGCAAACTGTTTTCAACTGACATGCAAAGGCTCTGGGTCTCGCTGGCACTCGCCCCGGTGCTGCTACCAGGGGTCATTCGCTCGCTCGCCCCTTGTGCGAGACTGTACTGTGTACGTGGTCTGAAGTTGTGCACTGGCGTGAGGTTGGCGATGCTTGCTTGCCTGTCGCCCGATCGCAAATGGAGGATCAAACTCTTGCACGTAGTTGTCCTGTAGGGCTTGCCAGGCATCTCGATCTTGTGCAAGGGCCATCCAATCATAGCCACCAATCTTGGCTATACTTTGCTCGACGTCCAAGGCACTGTTGAAGCGCGCCCCGTGCGAGATCTTGGCCGGTTCCGCAACCTCCTTCCACCACTTGAGGTTGCGCCAGCGTAGTAGGTCACGAGTTGGTCCATCATGTCGTGCCGCGTGCCCGTGCAGCTTCCATATCTGCCGGAGTGCGTAGCTGGACCATCGTTCATACCCGCTCCGGTGAAGGTGAACTCTGGCAGCACGCATTGTGCGGGTCTGCCATTCTGCCCACGTTTCGGTCGCCCCTCTTTTCGCCCCTAGCATGGTGCGAAGGCACCCCAGTTGGAAGCTGTTGACTGCGCGGAGTAAGCTGGAATTGGCCGGCCACGTAGCGCACCCCCATGTGGCTGAGTTCCGCACTAGGGTGGTGAGTAGCTTCATGCGCACGTCGATGGCCGTTGGCGCACAGAGAAGCTTGCGGTGGGCGTGAAAGGCTCGACGCCCCCGGGCTTGCATGTCCGCGACGATGGCTGTTACCCCACTCTTCTCAAAGGTCAGTGGGGAGCCTACTTGGATCGTCGGGGTCGGTTGTATTCAAATAGCTTACATAGCAATTGCATAGCATACACTTGCAAATGGTTAAACCACTTAGGCTATGTCAGCTTAGTCCACTTGGTTTTCGATGGTTTCGGAGCCACTTACTAAGCAGCTTAGGTCAGATAGGCAACCCAGTTATGGCAGTTATAGCTAAGTGTGCTAAGTGGACTTAGGGCACATATTAACCTAGTTATAAGTGATCGTTTTTTCCATATTTTCTCTGCGCATACACCTCCCAAAACAGGTTCCAAACCCTTCGAGTCCAGCATGCCCTCTTTAAAAATATTTTAAAAACAACCCCTTTCAACACGGCAAATCCACCCTGAGATCCCTTTGACCTGCTCCTGGCCAGCTGCGGCTGCCTGCAACAGGGGCCGGTGCACTTTGTGTGTCTGTATATTACTTCTGTTCGCGGGTGGTGGAAACGCTTTTTTTTTTTTTTTTAATATTTTGGATAGCACGAAAGTTTTGATTGACCTATTTCTTACAATCCACTTGCTAGGAAGAAGTACATTCTATGAAACATTCACGAGATACTATGAACCCGAAATCTAAAACATACAGCTAAACCTAAAGCTTGCAGAGCTCCAGGCTTCAAACGAGCAGTGTGACCAATGGTTTATATAGGGTTTAGTGTTCAGGATTTAGGGTTTATAAAGATGGGGTTTAATGTAAAGCCTATACATATATAGCATCTATAGAGCAGAAGCTCTTAGACCTGGATACCTTCAGATATCACCAAAGCTTTAGAGTAAGTGAGAGCGGTTGTTTCTGCATGTTCGGCCGGATCTTCTCACAAAGCAAAATGCTGAGGGACGACATGCACAAAGCCGTCATCGGAACGACGAGTAAAGCATGCCCCAATGATGACATCAGGGTTCACGAATGTGCAGTTGTCATGCACTTCTTTGAATTGGTTGGGTTTGGCACCCCTCTCGTAGAGGGTAATGCAAGTCAACACGTGGTCATTATACTGGCAATGATATAGGACCTCAGCAACAGCTTGCGGCTCCTTCACGATGATGATGTCTCCTGTTGCCACGGCTGGAACCTTCGGAACTCGAGCCTTTGAGCCCATGGTCAACCCCTTCGCTTCGACAAGTCCGAAGAAGCTCGCGAATGCTCTTTGCAGGGCGATGCTAGCCGGCTTCGGGGCATGAAGCTCGGTCCCAAACCCCAAAGGCACCCGCTCCAGCGACTCCAAATGGGTGAGCATCAGCTCCTGTAACAGCCCTCGCTCCGTGCCCGGACGGGCATTGGTCAAGTTGTTTGCGAAACGTTTCAACTCTTTGTGGCGGCGCTCGTGAGTCAAACAACTGATGAGAAGGCCGTGATGCTCAAGCTGGGCAGGCAAATGCATGGCCAGATGGCCCTTAGGGATGAATCGTTCCTCGGGGTAGACCTGCAAAAAGGCCACCAGATGGCTCTGAATGGCCCTTCGCAAGTCTGCCGGCTCAACCCTTTCCGACAAGCTCTTCTGCACCAAGTCCACACACGTGCAAAGCAACAGGAAACACCGGATGGCATTGCGGGCATCTTCTGACAATGATGGCCTCAAGTTCGCGAGGATGTCCCGAAGCATGGGATAGATTGTCAAAGCCTCGCTCGCCGACGACTTGAAGTCCCACTCGCTGCCTTTCTTCTTCACGAAGCAGTTCTTCACAAAGGCGGCAAAGCTCGCGAAGTGGGACGGCAAACTGTACTCGAGCAATCCTCGCTGGATCTGCTCGTGGGTCACTCCGGCCTGCACCAGCTTAGCCATAAGCAGGTTCATCTCCAGATGAAAAAGGCCTGATACCAGATAAACGTGAGCCCAGTCGTACATCGCCCCTCGAGTCGGGTCAAAGACCTCCAGCAACTCCGGGCAACTGAGCACACCCTCAGGGCAGTAGTTGAAGCCCAGATTGGTTTGGAGTTCTTCGAACTCTTTCTTCGTGCTGGTGCCCACCTTATCTGCCAAATGCCTAATGCTTGCCGTGACCGAGTTCAAGGTGTGGAGCTTGAACTTGCTGAAATCCGTGCAAGTGTGCAGCACTAAGCTGGGATGCAGTGGCAAGCTGGCATATCGTCGCTGTACAGTGTTGCGACACAGCAGGCAGAGCATCTTGCCACCGGCGCCTTTGTTCTCAAAGGTGTGCTTTAAAGCACTTTCATCGCTGACCACCGTTGCCAGTTCGGCACACATCACAAATCGGCCCATCGACAAGCCAAGCCGGAAGTTGCCGTGTGGAGCTGCGAAGCTCAGCATGGCATGTTTCGCCAACTGTGTGAATCCATCTTTGAACTTGTTGACAGTATCGGATCTCACAGTCGTGAGTACCATCCATGCATCCTCCTGGCACAAGCTGGCCCCGAACTCCCGGAAGCTCCAATAGAAAGTCTGGAGCTTCCGGGAGTTCACGGGCTTTAACTGATTTCCCGGTGCGACTTCGTCGCTGTACAGCACTATGTGCCATCGCCGATTGATGCTGGGCTCTCTGGTCCGCACGATGTCTTGCACGAAAGCTCCAAACTTGGTGCAAGAGTCGACAGCATGATACAAACAGGCTGCCGGGTCCAAATAAGCCACTGTCATTTCTTATGTGTTGCTACTTCCTGGTCAACGCCTTCACCTGCCCACCGACCTCACTACCATCCGACCTTCAAGCCTGCCGACGCACACCATACCACCTTCCCTCCTGCTCACTGCTCACGTACCTAGACCTACCTCCTTCCCACCAAAACATGCCTACCTCCCTGCATGCCCCTGCCAACCCTGCTAGCTTCTGAGGCTGAGTAGGTGGGTGGGTTTAGGGGTTGGGTGGGTTTTTCAGGGTCCAGGGCAAGGGCTGGATTGGGTGGGTGGTTACGAAAGTTTAGATTCTCTTCATGTTTAATTCTACACACATGCAAATTTTCAAGTCGTTGTGACTCGCACAAACAGCTGACTTTAACACAAAATCTCGAGCTTCCTGTTTCCGCTGAGCCACAAGAACACCAAGTTACATGTTTGGTTTGCTCGGCACAAACGAAACACTCTTTAACTTTGAACTTCATGAATTTCCAAACGAAACAAATAACTTGGGACAGGCTAGTATCAAATAAATGGATTTGACTTGTGGATGTCAATTTGTTTGAGCCACAAGAACACAGTTTCTCATGTATGCATTTTCATTTCGAACAGACCAAGTTTTCAGGTTTTGTTTTTTCCATTGAGCCGCAAGAACACAAGCTTTTACATGTCCAGCATGTCTTCCATTGAGCCACAAGAACACACATGTCTTGCTACATTCCATGTCACATCAACATAATAAGTCCTAGGACCCGGTTCCATAATGGAAAGGACCCGGTTAGCCCCTGACGGGCATTTCTTCCGACAAGACTCTGCGTTGGCGTGCAAGCATCTCTATCACGGAAGGCCCCCGTGCACAATCGACATCGTGCCGAGCAGGTCGCAGGCAGGCACGGTTGCCCACCTGCGTCCTTGATATGATACGGCACCTAATATTTAGGGTACCGAATTATAGGGATCCCCATGTGAGGCAAGGCGGACTTCCTCGGTAAGGCTGATATCCCGTTTGTCGGGGAAGTCTCGACTCGGAAAGTTCGCCATGAAGCAACTTCCGATGGCGGCAGAGATAACAAGAACGACAGTGACAAGAGGCCTCCCCTTAAGAGTCGGAGCACGGAGGGCCCACGGCGCTACCTCCTGAGAGGATGCCGCCCCCAGCAAACGCGTCCGCGCCTCGCTTTGCTGTCATACTCCTCGGGCCGTAGGAGAGTTGGCCTCAAGGGCGGCAAAACTTTTGCTGTCGGCCCTGCATCTCCCGCCAGCGAGATGAGTTCCCCAGGTTCTAAGGCACCGAGGCCGGCCCTGCAAGGAACTTGGGTAACGGCACGTGAGCCAGGCCACAGAAGAAGAGGGTGCAAGAGGAGCAACTCCGACACGTTGGCCTCCCGCTGCGAGTAAACTGCCTGCCTTTTCACGCAGATCCGAAGATCCGACGATCTGCTGGGCGAGGTGAGCCGAATTATCCTCCAGCAAGCACCTTAGCCCATCGTCTTGCACTAGCGCACAGCACGTTGGCCCCAGAAGGATAACTTCGGCGACCGGCAGAAACGAGCGCCTCACATCCGGCCAACGATGTGTCGAGACAGCCTCAGGTGCGCCCAGGCTTCTCGTCGGTAAGGCTGCTGAACGCATGGGACGCCGCGGCAGAAAAAGGAAGGACAAGCTCATACTCATACTCTCATGCGAACAGCACACAAACTGCCCGATCGAGAAATAATTTTCATCAGAAATTGGAAGGACGGCACATACTACTAGCAGCATGCTGTCGCTTTACACCCTCATTCGCACATGCTTTTATCCTTTCGCTTGCCACGTGCAGCGGTCTGGCGGAAGCACGGTCGCTGCCGCCCGCACCGGGCAGCCAGCGACGTCGCACCGCATCGTGAACAAATCCTTTGACATTTCCAGGTGCCGAGCTGTCCACTTGCCAGCCCGTCACGGATGACCCGCTGTGGGTTGGCGTGCCGGGGTGCTGCAATCGGATTCTTGGCGATGCGGTCCGACGTCGCAGACTCTCCGGCATGCAGTGGGTCATCCGTGACGGGCTGGCAAGTGGACAGCTCGGCACCTGGCAATGTGCACGTCGAGGAATAATGTCAAGTCTCTGGTCTCGACATGTACAAACTACCCACCCTCCAGCCCACGGACGCCGTGACACTTCTAAGACGCAAGCGCGCTCTTTTGTTCGCGGGATGCGCAAATGCTGACAGTCTTTCCTGGCCAAGCGGCGGTGGGCTCAAAAGGAAGCCTACAGCTGACCTACCTGGACCTAGCTCTAGTAAAACGCTTTACGGGTACGTTCCGGACCCTTTCACTTCACACAGATATTCGCACTTCACTTTTCCTCGGGCGCACGGCTGTCTTGGGTGCGTCCCTTGAGCCTAAACACCACAGTGGAACATTTGTTCCATACTATACAAAATCATGTGGTAAACAGCTCAACTACAGGATTATAGGGCAACACACTCCTAAGCGAAATGTTTGTTACCCCCTCTTCGTGCATCCTCTTTTGCCTTTTCTTTCCTAGAGGTGCAACGAACCCAAAACAGTCGCACTTTCCTCCTTTTGAAACACTCGTTGTGCACTCGCTTTTTGTCGTGGTGTGAGACGAGTGAAACAGAGCTACTCCTACCGGCCGCTCTCAAACTCGTTCACCTCTTTGGCCTTTCAGCCTCAAAAGAACTCGTGGTGGCCCAAAGCCACAAACTCTTCAAACTCTTTAAACTCTCCTCGTGAAGAAACTCTTCGGCTTCTCGTGGTGCAGTTGTCGTACAACTTTCAGAAAACTCTTTCCTCGTTTGGGAACGAAGTTCCCCCTCTGGGCTTTTCAGCCTTCAGATTCCCTTTTTCTTTATAGACCTCCGGTTTGGTCTTTCTTTCTTCTCTTTTCCTTTTCTCCTTTAGCCGCTCTTTTGCTGGGCTTTCTTTCCTTTGCCCTTCTCCGCATTGTCTGTGCGGTACTTTTTCTTGTTTGTCTCCAACCTGTTCGCGTATGCTCTTCGAATTATCAATTCGTTCTTCTTGTACCAGGATTGGAACTGTTCCTTACTCATTTCTTCCCTTTGCATCTTTGGGGCATACTGCCCTGAGGCAGTATAATTGTAATCGGCATCCCAACACGTTTCGGAACCATGTCCGAAACGCGAACATACTGCGCAAACCATTGCCTGGCTTTGCGCATCAGGATCTTCGTTGATTCGGCTTTCCTCTTTAAGCACCTGGAGCTCATCTTCGAGGGCCTTGTTGTTCTTTCCAAGCTCCTTGATAGTCTCGCGCATTTTCTTGCGCTCCTCTTTCATCTTCTCTGCATCCTCATTCGGTGGGCCTTGCGTCGACCCAGCACTGCTTTTGCGCTTCTTCAGCTTTCGAACTTCTTCATTCAATTCTCCAATCTCTTTGTCCTTTGCCTCTTTTAGCTCTGCGATCTCTTTATCCTTTTTGTCTATCTCCTCTTTGATCTCCCTTTCTTTCGTTTCTTGGAGCTCTTTAATCTCTTTGATCCTGTTGCGCTCCATCTCTTTCAGCTTTTGCTCAGCTTCGCCCTGAAGCAGTCCACCCGCTGGAACCTGCAGTTCCTTCCTTTTTGCTTTCAACTCCTCCAGTGCAGTATGGAGTTTCGGCCTCAATTGGTCCATCTCTTTTTGCAGGGCGGACTCAGCGTCCATTATCAACGTAGCCTCATTTTCCTGTTCCTCTTCTTCGGCTCTCAGCTTGTCAAGTTGTTTCTCTATGGACTCTTTGGCAACGAACGCTTCGTCCGCTACCCGCTTCAGCTCTTCCTTTACCTCTATCTCTTTTGCAATCAACCTGTCTCTTTCTTCCTCCTTGAGCTTCTTCTGCTTTTGCTTGTACGTATACAAATCACTATAAATAGTGAATTTCTTTCTCTTTTCATCCACTTTCTCCTGCAGAACCCTCATCTGCCCAAGCAGGTCCTGCACTTTCTTCTCCTCTTCTAGAACTGACTTCTTTGCCAGCTTGTCCATAATCTCTTTGTACTCATCATCACTCGACTCAGAGTCTTTCTTTCTCTTCTCGCCTCTCTTTTTCTCTTCCTCTTTTTCGGAGCTTTGCTCTTCCTCTTCTTTCTCCGAACTCACTTTCTCCTCGCTTTCAGAGGCTTCTTGCTCCTCTTCTTCTTTCTCTTTCTTTTTCTCTTCTTCTTCTTTTGTTTCCTTCGCCTTCTCTGCGGCTTCGTTTCCCCTTTCCTTCTGGCCCCTTCGCCTCTCGGAAGCATCCAAGGCTTTCTGCCTCAGTTCGCTCACTCTATCTTCCATAACCTGTGCCTGGCTTCCTTCGGCACTTCCTTTGCTTCCCTGTGCCTCTCCAGCCAATTCCTCGGCTGTTTTCTTGAACTCTTCAGGCACTTTAACCTCCGCCGTTGCAGCTTCTGACGGGGCCGCCTCTTTAGGCTCATACTTTTGGTTGAGGCGTTGCACTTCGGGCCATAGGGCATCCAGGGTTAATCTCCTCTCTCGCTCCTTTTTGAGCTCTCTTTCGCAGAGGGTTACGGACTCTATGCTTCGGCATTCGTCACTGATCATCGTCTTGAGGGCCGCGTCGTCGGCCATCTTTTTCACTTCTCCTTCTTCTTCTACTTCTTTTCTCCTCACTTCCTTTCTTTTCACTTCCTCTCTTTTCACTTCCTTCCTTGAGTCAAAAACGGCAGCGGCGGAACAAAGCATGCATTCAGCACTTCCAACCAGACTCTTCCACAAGCTACCGTTGCAAGCCATGATAACAACCAGTGTCATCATCATCACCATCATCACCAAACCAAAGTTTCCACCTTCACTGCTTCTACTGCTTTGCTCTCTTAGTCCATCACACTGCTGAACCATCATCATCATCACAAGTCTTCTCAGATACTTCGTAGGGATCTTGAAGTCACTTGCTATCCTGACCTCTTCACTCTCTTCTCCAGTTTTCACACCGATTCTCTCCAAACACTTCACAACAGCGTTCCTCGACAAAGCCTTTGTTCCTACATCTGCAGGGTTCTCCTTCCCAGCTATCGCTTTCAC